TAAGAATTCTAGGTGTGTCAACCAAAAAACAAACGAATGAGAAATAGTAAAAGATCGAAAAGAACCTTCGATTTCTTCGAAGATGTAGAGATGGTGGCCGATTGTTTGCGCTTTCGGACTAAAGCCGAAGGGTCCGATTCATCGAAGGACTCCCAGTCCTTTTCTTTTTCCTTCTCTTGCGCCTTTTCAAAAGCGACTATCTTAGTAGATTTTGAAACTGTCGAGAAATGAAGATAATTAGTTTCTAACATACAAAATTAAAAAATATGAAAAGACAAGTAAAGCCTCACCAAAGGTGATGGAGTCAAAATTTTGACTCGATCGATATGTACTAGCCAAGGAGGCAGGAGGTCTTCGGGGAAGTTAAGGTAAGGAAAGTAAGATAATTTCGAGACAGAAATATCTTTGTTTTTGGGTTTTGGGCGAAGTGTTTCCCTTAGGGATCTCAATTCTCGAACCCATTTGGGATGAGTTAATGGTTTGGCAAGTCCAAAAGGAGCTGTGGGAAAAGTGGGAAGGCGATTTGGACAATACATTTCAAAAGGGGTTCTACCTAGAGGATTGATTATTTTGTGGTTCGATCGATTAGCGTCTGTTTTATTGGATAAGGAGATAACAGCATCATAATAGGTCGATTCTAATTTCAGTGGGGTGTAACATATTTGATAAAAGTTCTCGAATCGAGATATTTGAAGACAGTGGAAGTGTGTACCTTTCTTCGTTTTCGATTTGTCCTGCAACACAAGAGAAGGATGAGCAGTCAGTTTCTGTCGAACTTCATCAAAAGCAGCATGACTACTCGAGAACCAACCGGCCCACCATTGAGAAAAACCCACAGTAGACAAATAATTTGACTCGAAAGCATAGGGGTAAAAATGCATCGGGGTCTTTGGTAAAAGCTTGACGAGCTCCCGACTAATCGTAGATTCAGCTTAACTTGGACCTTGGGGAGGTATCGAGGGGAAGAAAGGTAAAGACTGGCTCAAACCAAACTGCCTCGAGAAAAGCTGAGGATAATAGGTTATAAACTTAAAGTCTTTTGACTGAAAACCCGATATTAATACATCATGGGTCAAATAATTACTCCATATATCGATCAGCTCCGATTGCAACCCAGGAGTCGAGGCAGGGAACTTTGACTTAAACCAAATTGGTCCCCTAAGTTGGTCACTTAGTTGTCCGAGATGTGTGGTAAAGGGAGCCAAAGTCGAATCGAAAGTGAACCGCGTCAACAAAAAATTAAGATATCTACAATAGGCCGCTTCATCAGGCTTATGGTGAGGATGACGAGAAGACAATCGAGCGCCTTCTATATTTATACTTGGGGGGACAGTGGAAGATGGGGAAAGGATGCTCTCGAAAATCGAGTTTAACCATAATTGTACAAACCAAATGGGGCCAGAAAAGTTTCCCGACGCTTTAGGAGTGCTCAAAATTTCGACAGCCTCGTCGAAAGCGGTATATACATGAGCTAGCAAAAGCTTAGCCAAACATATCCTAGGCTGGCCTATGTGTAAGAGATATGCAAGGTCAAATAGATGGGGGGAAATTTGGATCGATCGAGGACAGAAAACATGGGTACATAACCAGTACACCAAAAAGGCTATATGTTCTTCCTCAGTCACAGTCATCGATTCGTCGTCAACGAAATGCCTCTCAAGGAAATGTCCATATGCTTTCGATTCCCAATCGATCTTTAACCTTAGAGAGTCATCCGAAGGGCATGCACCTTTAAAATACTTTTCCCCTGTAGGCTTCAATCCAGTAATAGCCGCAATTTCAAAAAGAGTGGGCGAGAGGGGACCGCAGGGTAATTCTAAGGCATGTAATTCCTTATTCCACAAGTGAACAGCGGATAAAAACATGGTCATATCCAGGTGGGATAAATCACATCGAAACAGGTGTAAGAAATCGAAAATCCCCACGACTTTCCAATGATTTCCAAATTGTACCTTAACTCTATCAAACCACCTAATATATGAAGGTTTTTTGGAAGGAGGGCCTGTCCTATACACCTTAGAGATAAGATTCAAAAAATCAACCTTAACTTCAGGTTGATGTACAAGAGCCGGACTAGTCGGGAGGTTGAGGGAAGAGAAAATTCCATCGATAGGACGAAGAGGACCCCCAAAAGCAAAATTAATACCCTCAATATTGTAAGGAATAAGTACCTGGGTCTCGGCAATTTTCCGAGAAGCCTCCTCCATCAAAGGAATTGGAGCAAACTTCTGGTTATTAATCTCCAGAAGAGGAGCCGTCAGCGAAGGAAGAGGTGGAGCCGAAAAATCAGAAGATTTGGAGGAAGTGGCCATCTCAGTAACTGGTAGGATGAAGAAGAGTAAGGCAAAAGATGAAAGCGCAGGGATGAAGACGAGCTCAAGGAAGAAGATGAAGTTGCAAAGGGTAAAGGTTCGCGTAAAAAACCAGAGTAAAAAACCAATGAAGAGATTAAAAGGAAAATCACTTAGGGAGCTGGAAACGACAGAGGTGAAAGGTAATTAATGTGGCTTGTACCGTAAGGCAGCAGACTGACGAGACAACGACATAAAGCAAAAAAGAAACCCAAAAACCCCTTAAACCCTAGAACCCCAGAAACCCTAAACCCTAAGTTCTGTGGGCCTCCAAACACTAAGGCGGGAATATTGAAAGAATATAAACAAACTATTCATATTCTTCCAAGGGGGCATTTTGTTAATGGCAAATCGAGAAAAGCGATCGAAAATGAAGGAAAAAATGTGACTCGATAAGATAAACTAAAATTCATTCGATGTCTAATTAGAAGTACGTAGCATATAGCATCGAGAAGCACAATCGAGAATCGAATGAATGATAATCAAATGCCTGTTGTCGAATAAAAACTAAGTCATATGAGACCAGGGTTAAAAAGGAATCGTAAGCAATTTGAAGTTCTCGAAAAATACAGAATCGAGAGTAAAGAAAGCCAATGTGGACATCGAAACTTTGGCCAAATCGTGAAAGGAAGTAAGTCAAATGCACGCATAGAGAGCGGTTTCGAAACCATGGGAAAAAAGTCGGAGATCGTGAGAACGTGGGAAACTATAGAAGATAAACTGCCATACGCACGTAGAACGTGGTAGCAGTCGTGTTAACTGCTCTTGGAAGGCTTGAACGATGCCCTATAAATAGAGCAAAGGAGGAAGGAATAGGGGGCAGAAATTGGCAGAGAACATAATCAGTAGTGAAAAGTCTACCGGAGAAACGACGAACACCATGAAGCTTCCGGCAATCTGGATTTCCTTGCTCACCGAGTACATTTACCGCTTTCGTATTTTCCTTGGTAATTTACTTTGATGCAACTTAAATTCAAGCAAGTTTAAGTTTCGTCTTTTCGATTCCTTGTCATTTCAATTCAATGAAAGTTTAAGTTTCTGTATTTATGATTTCTTATCATTTAACATTTTGCAAATCTCGATTTCCTGTCATTTACTTTTCTTGCAATCTCGATTTCCTGTCATTTACTTTTCTTGCAATCTCGATTTCTTGTCATTTATATTTGCGCTGTTTTCGATTTCCTGTCATTTACAATTAATGCAAATTTGGGGTTTTCGCACTTTACATTTCCTTGCAATTTAATATTCTGTTCCTCGATTCGATATTTTTACTCGTGTTTGGTATTTTAAATATAAAAAATAGCGTTTTCGATATTTTGTGACTTTCGATTCTCATACACGTTTTCGATTGAAAGTCGATCACTAGCCTCAAGAAAAAGAACTTATGTGGGAGGATTTTGATTAGGACCAAATCACCTTCGAATCGAAATCGATCGAAATTCCACTGAAACAGCTTATATTTTCCAAATAATAAAATTTAATTTCATTGATTATAATAAAGTTCAAACATGATAAATAAAAACAAATCTAAAAATACAAGGAGCTTTATACATAAAATACAATACTAACTATAAATTAGAATAAAAATCCCAGTCCAAAGTAATTTCAAATAAAAAACACTAATCATGTGTACAAAAAAGTAATTATAAATAATCTAATTAGTTATTTTTTTAAGGTTCATAGTCTGGTTAAATTCCAATTTGTTAACTAAAAAGTTTAAAATTGGTGAGAAATAAATAAAAGACAAAACTTGTATAGTGTAGTTTATATATAGTCGAATTTGTTCTCTAAGAATATATATATATATATATATATATATATATATATATATATATTCTTAAACTGTTTTTATATTTATAATTTAATAAAAAACCAAGATAAAATAAAAGTAAGCATTGAAAAATTTAACACAAATATTAATTATTTTATAAATTATTATTAATTCTACAATATAAAACATATGCTGTATGTTTTATTATGTATGAATGGTTTAGTCATCTATTGTAGTTTACAATCTTAAGATTCTAAATTATCTTAATGTGATTAAATATTGAATTGGTGTATTTACTACTGCTTCAACCAGCGGCTATTATAGATGAAATAGGATTTTTTTTTTTATCGCACTCCATTATTTTTGTAATTTTTTAACATTTAACTAATCCTTTTAAATTTAAATTTCAATGTAAACTAATTTAAATTTAAATTATCGAGGAAGAAGAACTTGGCAAAGTGAAAAGGCTTCAATGACACGAAAGCGGTGCCGTCAGAGTGTCGGTTGGATGTGGTATCGATGTCGATGGGTTCAGCGTAATCAACGGTCACCATTGCCGCATCTTAGACAAAGGTCAACTCAACTTAATGGAGACCGTAGTACATTATTGTGGTATGCCACACTATCCAAACACACCACGATTGAAGATTTTTTTCTCTAATTAAAAAATAATAATTACTGAAATTCTCTGTTTCAGTGTTCTTCCTCAGTTTAGATCGGACTCACTTCACCCTTCAGCAAATCTTCGAGTCCGAGCAATGAAGCCAATGCAGAAGCACCCACCACCACCACCACCACACAGATAGAAGAAAAAACGTTGAAGCCCAATTTCACATCCAAACAAAACCCAACCAATTCTATTAATTAAAATCCAAGAAATGAAGGATGAAGAGATCCCAATTGCGAAAAAGGAAACCCCAGCCTCAGATTCAGGTTTATTCGGAAAAGGAAGTTACAAATTCTGGGCACTAGCGGCCATATTGCTTCTCGCTCTGTGGTCCATGTTCACCGGCACCGTCTCGCTCCGGTGGTCGAGCTCACTCAACACGTTCTCCCATGACCTCCACGCGCCGCTCCACGACCACCACGACGTCCTCGTAAGTTTCCCATTTTTGCTCTTTCCGGTTCTGGGTTAACGGCGTGTGCTACAATAATGGGTAAATGTGAGTGCAGGAGATGGAGGAGAGAGAGAAGTTGGTGAGGTACATGTGGGACGTGTACACGAATAACCGTAAGATCAGGTTGCCGCGGTTCTGGCAAGAGGCCTTCGAGGCTGCGTTCGAGGATTTGAGCAGTGACGTGGCGGAGGTTAGAGACGCTGCCATCGCCGAGATTGCTAACATGTCTCTACGCTCCTTTGATATTCAATTGCCTTCTGTTGCACATTCTACGGTTGTTACTTCTCCTTCTTAAAATTATTGAACTGGAGTTACCTGTGCTACTGCTTTTTTGTTTATTATTATATATAACAAGTGAATGATCTTATAAAGTAAAGCTTGGTTTGAGTTCAATACTTATGCACCTTGACCAATCAAAACCCGTGTATAGCTTAATGTGCAGTTATGGTTAAAACGTGCGTGTACTGTTTCTTCGTTGAACCATGTAAATATCTTTTACATTATCATTCAGGTATCCTTAATTTGTTGACTTTTATTTTAACTGTTTTATAAAGATAATTTCTCAGAAAAAACTTCTATACTTACAGTGATGCTTATGAAACTCTTGCTATCTTCAAAATTGCTGGTGTTTGTTTATTTATTGTCCACGTATCTTTTAAGGTTTTCTATGAGTGTAGTTAACTTGCATTCATGATTTTTTTTAATAGTTCATCGTTTTTGAATTGAAATGATTCCTTTTGAGTAGGAACCTTTCGTCAGTTAGATGTTTTGCAGCATTGCACCCTATGAGTCGAAGCAAGTTTTGTTTTGTCCATTTTTTTTTTTTGGCTTGATTGCATGTTTTTTGTTCCTTGTCTTGCAAAAGTTATTTTGTTCTCTGCTTTGGTTCAATTTTGATTATGTTTCTCTCTTGGTTGTTCAAACTATGAAAATTGATTCCCCTCACTGCTGTTTTAACTAAGTCTTAGAATTTGAGGTTAGGACTCAATTCAACCCTACGGAAACTAACATATAAGGTGAGGACTGTCCAAGTTTTGTAAACTCTATCTCAACTATATCTTTAGTCGATAGAGACTAAATACCCTTTTCAACACTGCAATTAAGGCAGTTCAAAGAAGCCGCAAGGCAGGACTGACGACAACTAAGGCAACTTCATCACTAAGATATTGCTATGTTGGGGAAATTTTGCTGCTACAGCAACATCTCTGCTAATGGGGGATTTAGTTCCCATCAATTTGTACACCTTGAGCATAACATTGTTGAAATCCGGACTAGTGAACCACAATAATTAAAGGAGTCAAGTGTATAGGGCTTCCCTATCTGCCCTGTCCTGATGCCCTTTGCCTTGCTCGCACATACAAGAATGAATCTCATTCTACACAGTAGTAAGAAGCAAAATTGGATGTTATATGGATTGTTGAATTGGGTGATACAATTAAGATAATGTGGAAAGGGTGTGGACGGACAGTTTGGAAAATTATAAAAATTGGAAAAGGGAAATTATATTGGTAATTGTTGAGATTGATTTCTTGTTATTAAGCGTTTAATTACTTAAATAGCCACGAGGGACAATATTTTTATTAATTTCTATTAATACTGGTTGAAGGAGATCCTTGGTGCAACGGTTAGAGCTGCTCCCATTTGATTAGGAGGTCATAGATTCTGTGTCGTGGAATTAACTTCTTGAAAATGCAGAGTATACCCGCAGTGGTGGGAACTTTATAGCACCCGCTTCCATTGCCCCTTTTTTCTATAATTATTGATTAATGTAGTTTGTTTGATCATCAAGACTGATGACTCTCAAGGATGGAAGTGTTTACAGAAAACAGACAGCTGACTGCAGTTGTAGGTTGTAGATTAGGTTCGGGTAATTTGCATGATCACAGTGATATTGTAGTGTGAATTAACTGTCCTTCCTTGTCTGAATATGTTGTGGACATTCAACATGAGCTTATTATTTCACATATTTCTTTCACATAAAAGGGTGAGGGGTGAGTTTTAGGTCTTAACTTGTTTGTATGAACAATATGGGAATTATACATAATCAGAAGCGTGGGTATGACTTATAGATTAGAAATGAATTCACTTGAATGTTATCGTGTTCTTGGTGAGTTAGTTTAGTGTTTTTCTGTCTTAGTTTACATTTTTTGGGTGGTAAGGAAGGGTAAATTATTTGATATTCTAGATTTCTAAGCTTGTTTCTGTTTATCCAGATTTTTTAAGGGAATGCTGAAACAATATTTTGTTATGATAGATTTGTCATATTTTATATCTCTTTAAAATCAAGAAAGCAGGAAAATAATGTAAAAAGTTTATCAATATCAACTGAAAAATAAAACTAATAACAAACCCAACACCTTTCTTGTCTCGACCAGTTTCGTCAACTTTTCAGAATGTGGGGCGTAAGAAAAATTGTTTCTATCAATACTTTCAATCCAGATAGTTTCAGAGGTTCTAATGCGTGTACTATGTCTCACTGCATTGTGTATCAATTCAGAGAGCACGGGAATTTGATAAGAACCTCGAGCAATTTGAGAAAGGAGAAGGTGCAACCTCCGTACGTGCTTAGATGTTGGAATGTGAAGCAACCAAAGCATCGTGTTACAAGAAGTTCACGCGGTGGTTCCCAGGCGAAGTCATACTCCGGTGTTCATTCTTGCGTAACCCGGAAAATTATGTATTTTATTAGGTTGGATTCTTTGGAATTTTGCAATCAATTTCATAATGTTTACTGTATGAGGGCTAGTAAAATGGAGCGTGATAAATCAGATTAAAAATATATTTCTGATTTGATTTCATAAATACCATGATAAAAGCAATTTCTAAGGCTGTGTTTAGTAGGACTCGGTTCTATTACATAAATGTGATTCTGTTTTATCGATATTGTATTTGGTTAAGTTTCACGTTTACTTGTATCTTTCTTAAAGAATGTACCGAAGAATGTTATTAAGTTTTTTTCTCTTTTGCAGTTACAATATGGCACGCTTAATAACTCATACTTAGCTTTTGCTTTCTACGATCTCTTATTCCTGGATGAGGATTCCACACTTTCAATTCCCACAGTCAATGTTAATTCTTCCATGTAATCAGCTGATCCATTTCAGAGCATAAATAGTGTTTATTATTTTCAAAAACTCCCGAGTTATTCTTGTGTCTCGAGTTCTGAATGGAAATAATTACTAGGGTTAAAGAAGATTCGTAGAACTAAGATTTGTTTTCAAGAACAAAATCAAGTTTATCAGTACAAATCTCATTCAGTCTGCTAAAGAGGTTTTTTTTTTTATATGATTCTTGGGAAGATATAATAATATGGTAGCTTTTTCAGATGATCCATATTCTTTCTCCTTGAGTTTTATAGGGTAGAATTTGTTCTAATTATATCTTCAATAAAATTTTAAAATGGCAGATAATCTTTGAGTATTCACTACATGCAACAGAAAGTTTTTTTTTTCATTTTTTTTAAAGACATTAAATTTTTTTTTTGTATGAATTGGAATTCTTGAGACCAATATCAACTTGCAAATTATGCATTTTTAACCAATTGTTCAAATTATACAAAGAAAGGAGTTTTTAAAAGAGTTTTAATGAGTTGTATAATGTTGTCTTAATCCAATTTCTCAGGTATTTTTTCTTCGTCCTCCAACTATAATTGCAAGGTAGAGGTCACTCGAAAGCATAAATGTTACGCACACATTGTAACCAATCACACCAATGATATAGGTAGTATTAAGCACGAATATATATAAAAATCAAAATTGATTTTCAATATTAAATATATATAAAATGGTAATTTTTTAATTTTATCACACGAGAATTATCAATATATATGGTGGCAATATAGGATGGGTCACTTAGGCTAATGATGATTACACGTCTTGTTCCTACATGATCACCTTAAATAGTATTTTTAAGAAGTATTAATATTGTGTTATAAATTTTGACTCTTAGCTGTTAAAAGTTAAGAAAAAGGGAAATTTAATGGGTACTAGTGTAACAATAAATTAAAATTAATAAATCTATAAATTTATGAAAAATAGTAAACTAAACCTATTGAAAACAATTAAACTTATGATATAATTAAACTAATACTAGCAAAATAGTAAATTGCAACAAAAACAAATGAAAGCAAGTAAATCTCCGTTACTGAAACATGTAAATTTATGCAGAAAATTAAAGTAACACTCAGATGAAAACAAGTAAATCTATTTTTTTTTTTAAATGTTTAGGTTTGAAACGTTAAATTCTAAAACAAGTAATAAACATAGTATTAATAATTAATTTTTCAATCAATAATTTCTTCATATGATTAATATTGATGTCTAAACCTACTTGTAATATACAAATTTTAAACATTTATAGGCTAATTAGATAAAAAACAACTCAATTTTTAAATTAAGTATTCATTTAAAATTAAAATTTGAATTCATATACAATTTGATAATTTTTATCAAAGAATCTCAATTATATTAATTGTAATAGATTATAAATAGTTATCATCATTAAGAATTAAATTTAACTCGTATAAATTATATTTTGACAAGTGAAACAACCTTAAAAACATATTAGAACCACATAACTAAAGGTAAAATATCAAAACAATAAAATAGTAAATAAAGTGTAAAAATGTATAAGAACCAAATAAAAAAATTAAATGAAAAAGATAAAGAAGAGGAATCAAATTTGATGTAAAATATCTTAAATTGATAAATTTCAAAAAATAATTCGTATAACAGCCATAAAATTTAAATTTAAGAAGTTATACTACGAATATAAGATGAAAATAGAAAAATTAGAACGAAAACTTAATATCATATATAGAATATCTAAAAATGAAACATATGTTTTTAGACTTTTTTTAAGCCTTTATATATAACAATAAACATAATTGAATTCCACGAATCCATACAATACCTAAAATAAATCAATAAAATAATAAAAAACTTGAATCGCGAACATGTAAAAATGAGTTTTGTAACAAATTCACTTATCAAATATTTTTCTATCTAAGCGAAATTAACATTAAATTAATTAGTTAGAATCAATAGTATTATTCATTACATTTTTTTCTTATAAATTAGCAAAATTTAAAATGAGTTATCTAATTCATCGAGGGAATTCTTCAATAATTTAATTGACTTTCTTTCTTACTTTATCATTCACGTATTAATAAATAAATAATATTAAAATATACAATATAGATAATAAATTAGATATAAAACTATTTTTACTAAATTTTTGTTAATAATAAATAATTAATGAATAAAAAAATATTTATATATTAATTATGTTAATAAAACCATTCATAAAAAATGTATTCATCAACCAACCATTAGCTTATAATAAAAAATGAGTTGAACATTTTAACTTACAACTAACTTAGTCTAATGTTACATGATGAAAAGTTTTTATATTAAAACACAAACCAAAATGAGTTAGCTTATACCAAAAAAAACCTTGTTTATTAGATAGTTGACTATAAACAAAGCATTGTGAGCATAAATTATTAATTATATATGTTGTTAATATTTATTGATTATCGAAAAAAGGTTATTAGGTTCCACATAAGAAATTACGCTTCCAAACTTATGATGAAACAAGGAGAGAAATTTAGGTGATACTAACGATTTGTCCATAGTACCCTTTATATGAGTTAAATGTTGTTACTTGATATATATATATAAAGTATAATATATTTTTAATTTATTAAATAAAATGCGATTAAACTAAAAAAATATTCTAATAACTACACCTTTACATCCTCCATTATCACACATTACACCTTATATATATATATATATATATATATATATATATATATATATATATATATATATATATATATATATATATATTATAATTTAAAATAAATATAAAAATTAATGATGATATTGAATTTGATATATCTTTTTATTAGTCATTTTTTATATTTTAACCACAACAAAATCTACAAGGGAGCATAGAAAATTGTTGAAATATTTTTGTGTCTTATTACGTGGTTAGATGATAATTTTTTTTTTTAATAATTAATTTTTAAGAAGAATTTGAAATACGGTATGGAATAGAAAAAAATGAGGAATTTATGATAATAATTTTAGCTTGTGAAATATTAAACTTTACCACTTGAATGAACTATTAGACTTTTTGTTCTTATTTTTATCCAATAAATATAAATATATTAGTAAATGTTAGTGTCAAATACAAATTTCTCCTTAATATTCTATAAAGATAAATTACAACTAAAAAAACATCCATTTTCATGATTTTATTTATTTATTTAATTTCAAAATTTCTCTTTCTTTTTATCTATTTTTGTAATGCTGTTTTTTTATAATGATTTTGTAATTGTTTGTTTTTTATTTGTTATTGTTCGGATTTTTTTATATATATTATTTTCATTCTGGTATTTTTCTCGGGGTTATTCTAATGATTGGAAGCCATGAATCAGTGTTTTTTTAAACATATAAGCATGGGTTCTTCATCAACCATTAGACCTATTTCTTAATATTATGGTGATTTCTTATTAATTATGATTTGTTTTTATTAATAAATAAATTAAGAAACCTACTCTAAAAAATCTTTTTAGATTATACTATTACATGGCATGTAGATAAAGTTTAGAATTTTTTATGTAATGGTAATGTAATATTTTACAACATTTAAAACAATAAACAGAAAAAGACCTTTTAAAAGAAAAACAAATAATGCTTAAATATGTATAATAAATAAGAGATTCAATTATTTTCATAATAGATATTATGAAACAAATATTTGATAAATTTTTTTGATAACAAATCAATGCACGTAGTTTAAACTAAGCTCTAAAATAAAATAAAAAATGTTTAAATTATGTCACTATTTTGTTTAAAAGAGATGGATTTAACAGATGAAGATCCATAACAAATCTAGATCCGGCCTTTAAGATTGAATTATATGTGAATATAATGTTTTCATTTAATAGTCCGATATATATATATATATATATATATATATATATATATATATATATATATATATATATATATTAAATTCGGATTGTGAAAATTACAGGCTACATTTAGATGAAAGTGTGAGATTTTTTTAAAAATTTGAATTCAACGAATTAAAAAAAAAAGTAAATAAAGAATGCGTATTTGAAGTGAAAATATTGTTAGTTTTAATATACACAGACACTTAATGAAACTAAAAGTTTAAAACATATATCTAATAAATATGTTTTTTTTTCATGACATTATAATAATAACTTTGCAAATAGTATCATATGAAATAATGTTAACTTCTTATTTAAAGTGGCCATGCGTATAAATTAAACTTTTATTTTCAATTAATTTAATTATTATTATAATCAGTTAAAATTATAAACATAAATACTTAATAATATTTGGGATAGTTTTGAACTTTTTAATAAAATATTGGTAAGTTAACATAAAGAGTTTTTTTTCCCTCTAGTTTGAAATTGGAAAGTGATGAATAATTTTTCGTCCATATCTGCTTCACGCAGTTCACACCCCGCGTGCGTGGCATTTTGGCAAATCCGGTGCCCAAAAGATGCAAATTTGAAGCCTTTTTCGATATTTACATAATCCATGACGTGTTTGAAAATGGCCAGTCCAATGCGCGCTACACCCTTCTCGAAAACAAACACAGAAACCCCCAATCTGAACCGTCCATTTTGTCCACGTCATCGATCCGCATCGCGCTCAATCGAACGGCGTGCGTCGCTACAAGACAAAACGCCCCGAACCACAAAGGCTCAGCCCACCTGAACCCTAGGTCAGACCCAAACCGCGAGCCCGTTTGCCCAGACACAATGAGAAAGAGGTTTATCCCCCATTCGCCTCCCCCTGGCCAATGAGAGAGAAATTATAAAACACTCTTAGAGAGAGAAACACAAACAAACCTAAACTCTCCATAAACACCATAACCAAAACCATCACCGAGCTTCAATTTTCCACACTCCATAAACCAACCGTGTCGCTCTTCAATTCAATCCAATTTTATTCATCACTAATCTCCAACATAAAAACGCGTTTGGGGGTTCATAACAGCACTGCAACTCTCACTTTTGATTTTATTTTATTTTTTTATTTCTATTCTACTCATGCGTCGGGAGGGTGGTGCCTGAAACGCTTGCTTTGTTTATGCGGTGTCGTTTTGTATGAGATATAGGATTGCCTATTTGATGGACGAGATCTGGGAGAGGGCTGTGGAAACGGCTTTAGACGGCGAGAAGGACCACGCGTCCGCCCGGACGCTAACCCTGGACGGCGCCGTTAAGTGCGTGCAGGGACGCTTACCTCCTCCGACCCTTCTCGAAAGGTTGCAGAACCTTCAGCACCTTTCCATCGCAAACGTCGGCGTTTCAACGCTGGAGCAGTTTCCGCGGCTCCGGAATCTGCAAAAGCTGAACCTCTCCGACAACCGGATCGCCGGCGGGTTGGAGTTTCTTGTCCAGGCTGGCCTCGATTCGCTGCGCGACGTCGATTTGTCGAACAATCGGATTCAGTACATTGAGGATCTCGCGCCGCTGGCGCAGGTGAAGCTGGTTTCGCTGGATCTGTATGAGTGTCCTGTAACGCGCGTGAAGGATTATCGATCTAGGGTTTTCGGGTTGATTAAGTCGCTAAAGTACTTGGATAAGATGGATGCGGAGGGGAACGAGAGGCCTGAAAGCGATGATGAAGAAGAGGAGGAAGAGGATGAGGAGGAGGATGATGATCCTGGAAGTGGCGAGATTGATGGAGAAGAAGATCGACCGCATGGGATTAACAATGGACACAGCGAGGGTGTTGATGGTGTCGTTGATGCTGATGAAGAGGAAGAAAGTGATGCGGATGAAGAAGAGACGGAGACGTCTAGGCGGGTTACTAATGGCGAGAATCACAGGGAGAATGGGTTTCGTGTTGTGCCGGTAGAGGGGGGTGACGTGGAGGAGGAGGATGAGGAGGATGATTCTGGTGAGGAGATTGATGAGGAGGAGGGGGATGATGATGATGTGGTGGAGGTTCATGAGATTGAGGATAGCGATGATGAGGATGGAGTGGAGGAGTATGATGAGGATGATGATGATGAGGACGATGAGGAGGAGGAGGTGGATAATGATGAAGGCGATTTTGCAGAGCCGGAAAGTACTGGGAGATTGACGAGTACTGAGGGGGAGATTGATGGGCATGAGCAGGGGGAGGAAGATGGAGATGAGGATGATAATGGAGAGACTGGGGAAGATGAGATGGGGGTTGAAGATGATGGAGAGTTTGAAGATGATGATGAAGTGAGATAACCCTTCTGATTTACTTTTGTTTTTGTTTATTGCATGTTATTTCTGGTTTTTCACTTATATTTCTTCCGTGTTGTGCATGCTATATTATTTTGCTTTTTATTTCTGCTTAGTGTGATGTAGTCGGATGGATTACCAGGAGGAGTCTTTTCCGTATACTGATGCTTGGTAGCTGGATTTATTCCTTTGTCCGTTTGGTTTAATTTATTTACATTATGTGACGATGTATATTTCCGTGCATGGTATTTGGATTATTTTTGTCTTGCATGTTCAGTTGTGAAGACTTATTTTTTACATGCATTGCTAATAGCCAGTGATTTGAATATGTGCTAATTCAAGTATTCGTCACTGATTTATCTGTTGAATAATATGCATGTTTTTCGTTGCTTTGGGTATCGTTTATATTTGTTTGATTATCCCTGCCTTTCCATGTTTAAAGTAACCATCAAATGCAGGATTTGGGATGGAATGGAGTCTTTTGCAGATACGGGAAACAGAATAGCCAGCTTAATTTGCAATTGAAATTTTGAATGGAATAAGCTTGATTTGATAATTTTAGCTTCGTGCAAAGCTTCATAATTGATTTTTTTAATAATAAATTGCTTATATTTTTAATATATGATATTTCTCTTGTTGATTGTCGGTAATTCTTTTTAATATTTTTTAATTCATATCTTATTCTCTTTATTAGAACACTTATTTGACTGTCGTATATATTAATTTTGACCACTGCGGGATTGTTGTATTTTTTAAGCAGGAAGACATTGTGATAATACATTATTCTAGGGGCTGTAATCCCAATTTTGCGGACAACTGAATCTTTTATCCACATTTTTTGTGCCTTTTTCTGGTTTCATAAAATGTAACACAGGGTAACTTTTTGCAAAAAAAATTTGCGTTCCTGTGTTACTTTTTGGAGGTAGGATTATAGTGCTCTACTGTTGGCACGTGCATTATATTCTTGGCAAGCCTTTTCTCAATTTCTGCTGTTTCCATGTCCTGCTTTTGATCCGTTACTCCTGTAAACTTGTTGTGGTTGTAAACTGAGATATTGAAGAAAAATATGGTTATGGTCTGGAGTTTCTTTTTGGGTATGACTCTGGTCTTCAAACATTTTAGTTTTTGTTCTTCCCTGTTTCGGTTCTTTTCTCTTAAACCGAGATAATCCACGGATTTAAAAAAATTGAATGTTAGGGTGGTAATTTTTTTATTTTATTTTTATTATTATTATTATTATCTGTTGTTTTTCCTCATTTTTGATGGATGTGTTTGTCTTACCATTGTAATCATACTTTTAATGTTGTTGGTATCTCAGGAAGAAGACTATGGTGGTGGGTACCTTGTTCAGCCGGTTGGACAGTCGGATGCTCTCAATGCTGGTGTTGTTGCTGCTGATGTGGATGGTGGAAATGATGAAGGTGAAGAGGAGGACGAAGTTGATGATGAGGATGAAGATGATGTTCAGGTGTTACCTCCTGACTCTAAACACCTCAAGAGGAAGAGGGATGATGAAGAGGAGGATGAGGAGAGTGAAGATGAAGATGTGGTAGCATTCACGAAGTCATCCAAGAAACATCATTGACCACCATCATTCTAATATATATATATATATATATATATATATATATATATATATATATAATGTTCTTGTTCTGTTGATGGCTTCCATGTGTGGGAAGCAGAGAAACCTCAGTTTTAGATAGAACAATGGTTAGTGTTTAGGAATTTAGCTCTGATGAACAGAGGACATATTAGGCAAAGGAATTGTATGTTGGGTGGAAATATGTTTAGTTCAAAAAGTCGTTAGTGTTTTTTCCCTCTTGCCTTTCACATATAGCCGTTACTCTATTAAATATTCAAATGGCAGTTATCAGAGGTTTACCGCTCATGTGCTTGATGTTGGTATTGGCTTGTAAAGAAACTGGCTGGTGCCTGGAGGGAAAGGGTGGGAACTTTTCAATTTTTTTTTTTAAATCTCTAGTTTATTGAGTACTTTTTTGGTGAGAGAAAAAGGAAAAGCTTGTAAAAACACCTGTAGATAGTTTTTATGAAAATGATTCCGATCCTTCAAATTTGGTGCCTATTGTGTAATGACGTGTTTAGTTCATAAATTACTGCTATTACGTGGATTTATTCCCCTTCCTGCTTGCATTTATTTTGATAAGAATAGCAAATTTTGGTCTACTTGGAGTAGTCAACCGCCAGGTAATGTGCCAAATGGGACCCTGCAATTGTTTTTATCTATAAAATTGACGGATTTTTTATGGTTTTATCCCCTCCAATAATCTGAAATTTACATGTTGCCACGTTTTTCTGATCTTCAATTGGACGGTGAGATCAGCATTGTTTATGCCATTAAATTTGTTTTCCTCATTAGAACCAAAGCCAGTAAGAATCCTACTAGCCTCTTCTCAAACGATCCTGCGTGAGATACACGCAATGTTCTTCTTCTATGCGATTCTTACTTACTGAACTCGTGTCTTTATTTGGTGGCAGTTTATGATATGCTGCCACTCACACATACAATAATTGCTTTTATTAACTAAAATTTTACTTGATACAACCAATAATTTATTAATTTTAGTTTCTAAATAATTTTAATATGTTTTTATCAATTTTTTAAATATAATACTAGACACACATCACTACGATGATAACTAAACATTTTATAAATAATGTAATTAATAAATAAGATACAAAATTGTATTAAGATTGTCATTTTTAAGATCGGTCTGTTTTTTCAACTCGGAATTCATTTGTCAAATCACATTGAATAAAAAATATATAAATATTTAAATAAATAATTTTTTTTTATGTAAGATGTATTTTGAGATTGAATCAAATCAAGATTATAAATGTTTATATTTTAAAGCTTGAATTTGTTATCAGAATTTTTTTTATTGACAACCATCTTTGTACAGAGTTGTTCAATAATATAATAAGATAATTTGGGAGAGTGGATAGTATATGTATGATCACTAAAAGTACTTGTTACCTGTTACTTAAAGAAAATAGGTTAATTCATTCAATAAAGGGTGACTTATTGGCCCAAAAGGAAAGCCCATTGGATAAAAAGGATTTGTTATGTAAAAAAAATTCCATGTTGCACTCCCTTTTTATTTCTTTCACGCTCTTTTTGCCTCTTTTCTTTGTTGTAAAACATCCTCTTTTTGATATATTTTTTTTTCTCTTATTGTACAATGACTAGGACTAGCTAGTGTTTTTGTATTATTGAATCATCTATGACATTGATTTAATTGAAATGAATTAGTATTTAATAAAATCATTTTGATAAGTAAATATTATTTTTGTTTTTGTAAAAAGTATAGACTAGACTTTGAGTTGAGACATGATAATTTTAGGTGAAATTTTTTCTATAGTAGCACGTATTCATTTTTTAATTACTCAAATAGCATACTGTAAGTTTTATTTACCTAGATAGCACAATTTTTTGTTAAGTTGAGAATTCGATTTTCCGAATACAAAACCTAAACGTAATTGTATTTTATAATTTTTTCAAACAATTTAGAATTCGATTTTCAGACAACAAAATTCTGAATAGTTTTCTTTTTATTTTATTAACAAAAAAAACTAACTAAAATATATATATATATATATATATATATATATATATATATAATATGTTATAATATTTTATTTAACATTTATAGTTTTAAATTAGGTA